GCTTAACCTATGCAAGTCACCTCGAAGGAAAGCTAATGGATATTAAAAACAATAGTGTTAAATTAAGTTAAAAGAAAATAAAAATTAAACTTCGTTAAGCCAAGAATAGTTATAAAAAAAACTAAAGTGAAAGAAAAAACAAACTCGAATACTCCAAAGTAAACACTTCCTTTTTCTTCCACCACTTAAAATAATATCATTTTTTTTTTTTTTTTTTTTTTTGGGGGGGGATACATTCTAGGCAAGGACTAGACACAAGATAAGACGCTCTACGCGTTTCCCTAATTTACGAACAATGCTAAATTGCTCACCAACTTAGCCCCACCTGCTTCGCCCTTACAAAACTGCATGCAGCTGAGACGCGCTATTTTTGCTCCAAAGTTATTAGAGTAGCATGAGGGGGAGTTGCTCCCAGAATTATTCTTGAAGAGCTATAACATTGTAATGAATGTACACACATGCCAGGGAACGCACTAGAAGGAAAAAGCGCATGCACACCAATGAATAATTGAAACAATTACAAAACGTCTTGGTTGTACAAAAAAAAAAAAAAAAAAAAAAAAAAAAAGACAGGCACGTAGGGGGAGATAAATGGCTACCGTGCATGCGTGCTTTTGTGTGTACTCCTCCCTTTGCAGTGTTGCAAACTGTTGCTCAAATAATCACACAAGACAGGAAAAAGCGCATGCAACACTGAAACAAGTGTGACACGTTTTCCTTCGCTTTTAAAATAAGACAAGGACCAAGGGACAGATTAATTCGTATGCGCATGCAAGTGGCACACACACCTCCGTGTGACTCCCAAGCATTCTCCAAATCATCACACACATTCATGCACTTCCCTGTCTGTCCTTTTATCACAGGGATGGAAGCTGCGCAAGTTGCGTCCACGAGAGAGGGCTAACAAAAACGCAGCAGTAATTTTTAGTGCCACCTCGTAGTTGCTTTAATTAATTTTTACTACCAGCATGCACAGCGTCCAGGTGACGTGATACGCTTGCCTTAGTATGAGCCCACCCATTAAGAATGCACGAGGTTCGTCGGGTGCCTTTTGCGCTTAGCTCCTTTGAGCGTCACTGGAACTGTGTGCCTACCGTTCATTGGGTGTATTGTTTTGGCATTTTGTCACCTATTGTGAGGTTTACCGCTCACCACATGGTGCTTTTTCTTTTTCTTCTTTCCGTTTCCCCCTTTCATCGGGATCCTCCCCTCAAACGACCACCCACATAAAGTGTGTGCACATAAACAGCTACGCACGCGCAGTTGTTCCATCCAAATTTTCCTTTTTAAAAAAAAAAAAAAAAAAAAAAAAAAAAAAAAGGGACTTATTCCCGCAAGTTTATAATATAAAGCCCAACCGGCACATCCCACTTAAAATGAACTAAAATGTAGGGGTAAACCTCTTGGGGTAAATTTATTCCCCCCGCCGACGTGGGCATGTTCCTTCCTTTTGTGTCGTGTGGCCATGCATCCCCGAAGGGTGTACCAACTGCACAACTCTTCTTGGGAATTACAAAAATATGCGTATCGTTTAAATATATGCGGATGAACGGGTACAATAGCCCAACAAAGGGGGGGATAATAAAAAAAAAAAATAATAATAAAAATAAATAATTGCAAACTGGAGAACAAACTACGCGGAAAATAAAAAAAAAAAAAAAATGAAAAACACCGTTGCAGCGGCTTATACATGTAACCCCATCACAGCAATGAGGAAAAAAAAAATAAATAAGAATACATTTGGTTTGATTAAAAAGGTACAAATGTGACGCGTTTGGGATATGCGCCTAATGTATGTTGATGGCGGAACACTCATATATTATATATATATATATATGCGTATCATGTAGGCACATGATCGATCACGGGTATTTACATATGCTTATATATTGGGATGGAACACCGTTACGGTGAGAAAAAAAAAAAAAAAAAAAAAAAAAAAAAGCATACAAATGGGGACGCAAAGGGTGGCCCAAAGAAGCAAGGCGTCAAGGGGGAAAAAAAAAAAAAAAATGTCACGACAGTTGCTCAATTTGTAGTACGTGTAGCCTGCGCTATTCCGTTTTTTAAAACGTCAGCCAATAACGGGAAAGCTGAAAATGAAAAAGCAACCCAAAATGCAAACAAAGCAAAACTTGCAAAAATGCAAAGTTGCCAGATATTTGCGAAAAAAGTAAAAACATATATATGCTACGCAAAAAAAAAAAAAAAATAAATAAATAAATAAATAAATAAATAAGGAAACTGTTTTATGGAGTACCACCTTTTCATTTGTATCACGGTGCGCTCCTGAGGCAACCTTTTGTAAATTGAACTTCGGTAATTACCCACTTTGCTTGTTCGTTACCCCTCCGTTCAGCACACAGCTCACAACGTTACAGTGTATGGATGTACATATACCTTCTTTTTTTTTTTTTCCCACCCTTCTGGTAATTGTTTCCATCTCTCCGTTTGACCTATAAAACATAGGGCGCATAAGCGTGTAGCGAATAACATAGAGAACCACTTCCTTTTCTCGTTAATTAAAGTACCCTACAATAGTCGTATTTTTTTTGAAGCCCACCTCAGGTGCCGCAGCAACCCGTTCTGACCCCCATACGGTGCTTACGGGAAGCGCAGAACGTTCATTTGGATGTGCCGGTGAAAACGCCCCGCTTTTTGTGTGCCGAAGTAGTACTCCCTACAATACGTACTTCGCCGCCCTTCTTAACGGCTCCGTCGTGCACGTAAAAAAAAAAAAAAAAAAAATATATTAACCCAAAGAAAATATGGATCAAACACCAGACACTAAGACTGAAGAGATCGACTTGGAGAAGTACACCCACTCCGGGTCCATCGCCAACGCCACATTGAAAAAGATTATCGAGAAGTGTGTAGAAGGTTAGTACGGAATGCGTAGCTAATCGAGCGAGGGGGAAAAAAAAAGGGGCACACAAACTGCTATACCAAGTTGTGTTTTTGTCGTATGCATTATCCCTGTCTCCCTGTTTTCCCCCGTTTCGATGACTCTAACAACCCTTACACGTTAATAAAAAAAAATAAATAAAATAACGCTCTCTGTACAGGTGCCAAAATAGGCGAGCTATGTGACTTTGGAGAGAAGATCCTGAAGGAGGAGCTAGACAAAGTATACACAAAAAAAGAAAAAGGAAATAAAGTGGAAAAGGGGATTAGTTTCCCTGTGACCATTAATGTAAATGAAGTGTGCAACAACTATTCCCCTGCACCTTCCGAGAATGAAGAAACGATAAAGAAAGGTGATATTGTTAAGATTTGCTTGGGTTGTCATATAGATGGGCACATCAGTATGGTTGGCCACACCATATACATCGGCAACGAAAATGAAGTCATTGAAGGTCCCAAGGCGGCAGTATTAAAGAACGCTCATACTCTCTCACAGCTATTTTTGAAGAGTCTAAAGGTTGGAGTAAACGCCAGTGATGTGACAAAAAATATACAAAAGGCATGTGAAGAATTAAAGTGTAATGTAATTTCCAACTGTGTAACTTACCAGATTAAGAAATACATTTTGGAAGGAAGCAAATTTATTTTGCTAAAGGAGAACCCAGAAAATAAAGTTGAAGACTTCCAAATAGAATCTGATGACATATACATCATCGATGTGATGGTGACCACAGGGGATGGAAAAATTAAAGAAAGTGATCACAAGACAACCATTTATAAACGGGAGGTACAAAAGAATTACCACTTGAAAACTAATTTAGGTAGATCCTTCATCAACGAAGTTAATAAAAAGTTTCCCGTCCTTCCCTTCCATGTGAAACATGTTGAGGATCAGCGAGCCGCACTCATCGGTATCCCCGAAGCCCTAAGGCATGATCTAATCAAACCATACACTGTCTACACGGAGAAGAAAAAAGAATTTGTATCTCAGTTTAAGTACACCGTTATGGTTAAGGAAGAAGGAATTAAGCAGCTCACTGGTATCAAGTGTTCTCAACTGAATAACTGCAAAACGGTGAATGAGATCCAGGACGAAGCGCTCAAGGCTATTCTGGCCACGTCCCTGACAGCCAAGAAGAAGAAGGCCAAGGGAAAAACCAACGAGGAAACGCCCCAGGCGAACTGAGAAGCTCCCCACTTGCGTTAGGCACGGAGAAAAACCTGTACCGCGGCGCTAGAAAGAGGAAAGCACCCCTGGGGAGGCAATTGTAATGGTAATTGAATTAGCAAGTGCACGAAAGTAAAGTTTTTCCCCCCCGTGTCCTTTTTGACATCACGCCAGTGATAGCCAATCGTTTGGTTCATGTAACAAATTCGCGAAAGAGATGGCACAGCATATAATTAAAGCAAAACGAAAACGGTACGTTTGTTTTATTTTGTTAATTTATGTATGCGTATTATTATTATTATTAATTTTTTCTGCTTTTTTTTTTTTTTTTTTTTTTTAACTAGACATTTTTTTAAAACAACAAAATTTATAAGTTTTTCCTAAATGGGAAGATTAACAAAAGTGACATAAACATATGTGGGGACATTTTTTTTTCTTTTTTTTCGCTTCACCCCAAAGGGTGGCCTCAAATTTGAATGCGCCTGGAGGGGGCGCCACTTGGGCGTTGTGCCCAACATAGACATGAGCATATAGGCACACACATGTACGTGTATGTATGTGTACGTGTGTGTATGTGTAGGGGTATCTACCTGTGCACCCATTTCATGGCATCCGAAATCGGGCAGACGGCCGTGTGGCACGGCAGACTGGCCAGTGCGAGTTGACAAAAAAACGCCCATGGGGGCAACATCATTGATTACACATAAAAAAAAAAAAAAAAAGGGGCTGAAAAAGAAGAGAACAAATAGGGCGAGCGGTAGGTGTCCTCTTGACGTTTTTTTTTTTTTCGATTCCTTTTCTGCATCCTTTTTGGCTGTTTTTTTTTTTTTATTTTTTCCCTGTTGGCTAGCTAGAAAAAAAAAATTCCCCCTATTGGCTAGCTGGAAAAAAAAAAAAAAATTTCCCTGGTGTTGCACAGCGTGCCCCCCTAAAACAAATTGTTGTACAGCTTATCCTTCTTGTAGGTAAACTTGAGCACGTAGAGGAGGCAAAAGGATATTAACCAGGGCAAACATGTCAGGATTAGAAGGACGTCAGACAAAACGTGCACGTTGTGTTTGTTGACACTGACGTCGACGTTGTTGATCTTCCTCTTGTCAATGTAGTTATATCGGTTGAGAAGAAAGGAGAGAAAAAAAGTGCCAATGATGGAAGACCCAATGTTCTCGAAAGCACTCATCAACGCCATGACGAAAGCAGTGTGCTTCTGTTTGACAATATCAATTATGATAGGCTTATGTGTGCCTATATTTATCCACCCACTTAAAATACCCATAAGGAGAGAAATTATGACAAAGTATATAAAAGAATCGGCTTCCTTCGGCACAAAAAAAAACATTGTAAACATTAAAATGATCCTTAAGCAATGCGTACACATTCCTATCCGTTGCCGATTTATGTCTTTGTTTAATTTATAAAAATAATCACTGATAATACCAATGAAGGGAGAAATTAAGCTTGCACACAGCCAACTTAATGATATAATCAGGCCACTTCGGAAATCTGATATATTACAGTACTGAAAAAAATAAATCATTAAACTGAGCACATGTTTGGGGATTCCATTTAACATTCCCATGGTGATCATCAACCAGAAACTGTAATTTTTAAACACGTATTTAATTTCGTATAGGTATGAAAATTCATACTTCAATTTTTTATCTTTCTCCTTTTCCTCTTCTTCTAGTAGATTATCCAATTCTTCTCCGTGTTCATACTTTTCTCTTTCTTCATTTCTCTTTGCAAAAATGGAGGAGCACGAGGAGGAGAAATTGGTTCCCTTCATTGTGGTTTCATTCTCATCATCTTCCTGCGAGTTTTTCTTTTTATTATTTTCCTTCGTATCTTTCATATGATTCTTTCCCCATTTGGAGTAGTTTCCGTTTCCTCTGGTGGTACAATCCCCTTCCCCAGTAACTGCACTTTCCCCGCTGCTAGTCCTATTGGTGCCTACATTTAACGCGGCACCCTTCAGGGGGGAACTTGTCTTCTTCGAAATCATGTGGAAAAAGGATCGCTTAATAAGATTACTGTTTATCCTCTCATTGGTCGATATTAAACTTGTGTTGTTCAAATCATCATTCGTGCTTGCGCTGTGCCTTACGTCTAACTTGCTCGAATTGTGTACAGAGGCTGTGTCATCGCACGCATTAGATATATTGGTCAATCCTTCCTTATGTTGCATATGCGTGTTGTAGTAATTTTTGCTCGTTCCAGAGGGTAGGTGGCGATCCCCCTTCTCCTTTTCCTGTACCTCTTCACTGGGTTCTCTACAATTACCCTTCATGGAGTGTTTACCCTGCTCTGCGTTAAAAAGTAAAACTTCTGCTCCCCCCTCATCCTTCTTCTTGTTCGTCTTTTTTTTCTCGTCTTGCCTTTCCTTACTTGCACCCCGAAGACGCTCCAATTTGTCATTTTCCCTTTTGCAATAATTTTCCTCCTTCTCGCTCTCCTGACATACATCCGTCATATTATCGAAGGAGACCAAGTAACTGTAGCTGTGACTTTTACGTCCTCTGCTCTTGAATTTGCTCACCTTGATTAATCTTACAAGGCATATACACACGAGGATTGGCACGAAGGATATTACCAAGTAGCATATTCGCCACCCATTAAACCCCAAGTAAAATTTATTGCTTAGGTTGGTGTTTATGGAAATGGACAGCATGTGAGAAATGGAGGAGAAAAAATGAAGGAAGCCAAAAATGGTACTTCTGTTTTCACTAAACACGTTATTGGTGTAAATTTTCTGAATCAAAATGTATATGCATGAGTTGTTGATGCCCATAATAAACATAAAGAAAAAAAAGTAGAGGAAATTATTTGACAACATGATGCCAAAAATTACTACCACGTAGACGATGGAGGAGATCACTAAGATGTCCAGTGTATATCTGTACTCACCCCAAATGACTTCTTCGCTGACGTGCGTACTATTCTGTTGTTTTTGTTTTTTTCCATTAGCTGTTTTTTCTTCCTCTTCCACTGCCTTCACGCCGCTGTTTACGCACAGCGCCTTGTCCGCGCCCTCGCCCTTGAACTGTATTTCGTATTCGGTGTCGCTCACGCCACCACTCACTCCGCTATCCACTCCTGCAACCATGTCCTTCTTGACGCGGTCGCTGTTATCCCCCACACTAGCCTTCTCATACTTGACGCAAAATATCTTCTTAAAGGAGTAATCGAAAAAAAGCGCAAAAAAAAAATTGAAGGCAGAGTACGCCAACTTGTACATAGTGTTCACGTAGTACAAAGTTTTCACATCAACGTTGAAGTCATTTTCAATGGACTTGTACAAGGAGGGAAGAGTCTGGTCCAGGTACTTATGTATAAAGGTAAACAGAAGACATAACATAAATGTGTTTATGTAAGTATACTGCAAATTATTTTGGGGGAATAAATTTTTGGCGTTGTGAATCATGTTCGTGATTATTGACATGCCCCCTTTCCTCCATTTCCCCGCACCCTTGCTGGTGGTCGTCTCCGTTTTTTCCATTTATTCAATTGTGCCTGGAAGTGAAAATTATTAAGGGTTGTTCTCGGGGGAGGGGGGTTGGTTACCCTGGGCTCTGAGCTGTCTCTATGGCATCTGTGACAGGGGGTTGAGAGAGGAGGGCACGCATACATACATGTGTGTGTTTGTGTGTCCATGAGAATGTACATTCGTGCCTACACTCCTTTGTATGTTCTTTTGTACGCTGTTCCCTGTTGTTGCCGTTGTGGGGGAGGGGTCGCCCCTAAGGTGGGCATGACCCTCTCTTTGACGCACTCGTGTGCGTGAAACTGAGCGGCTTCCCAACTGACTCTTCCACGTACTAGTGATCCGTACTACGTCGTGCGCTTCGAATGACTGCTACATAAGTTTAAGTGGTGATGTGTGCACAAGTAACGTATTCAAGAGGATTGAGTTGATCGTGCACACACAAAACGACAGGCGCATCCATAGCCATTTCAGCACCCACCAATTGTGTGTCCATGCAAGCAACCGGCTGGACAGACCCATGCCGCGCGATCTGCTCCAAACTTGCCTCTTCCCCAAAACGAAGGTGAACTAGTTGCACATTAAATAAAAAAAATCCCACACATGCACATAAAAATATCTTCACAGTGCATACACATGAATGTATAGCAAACGAAAGTTTGTTACATGGCAACGAATTAATATAGTGTAAATGTCAAACCAGGTGGAGGGGAGTGGATGGGAGTGGAGCGGGCAAACCGAAGTTCCATGAGACCACTCCCCCTTTTTGTGTCACTCCATAAAAAGGGGGGGGACACTATATTTTACAAAAAAAAAAAATTATCAAAGGGAAGAACAAAAATAAGAGAATACCAAAATGGGGACATAAAAATGGTGTTTACAAAAAAGTTGACAACAAATTAAGAGTTGCTTGGATTAATCTGAAACGAAATGGAGAATTATTATTCACCAAACAGGTGGTTAAAACAATGTCGTTTTAATTAACCCCAGTGGCAGCTGTGCATACTTTGCCCCAATGCGTACAATTGCAGTTTCAAAAAAGTCTGCTACGCTGGGGCGATTCAGCCATTTATCAAATTAGCCATTTGACAATTTAAGCAATTTGACAATTTAGCCATGTAGCCATTTGGCAAGTTAGCCATTTAGCGATTTTTTTTTTTTTTTTTTTTTTGTTCCAAATGTTCTGCCCTGTTCAGGCCAAAAAACCAACACCCATTTGAAGCATATATTATTAATGTGGGGAGATATATGTGTATGCCCACTGCACGTAAAAAAAAAAAATATGCCTGCCTGGTATGCAAAAACTTGCATATATTTGTACGTAAGGATTTGCCTACTTGCATGCGCATACACGCAACGTGGGTGAAGAACGAAACAGTGTAATGTGAGCAGCGTTCATACGCTCAACTCTTGAAGTACATCCGGTACGCACGCGTGTACTTTCGCCAACGCCCGCATAATGGAACGTACAAATTCACGCAAAGGAAAGAAAGAGAAAAAAAAAATATTAGTGACCCCCCCATGGGCAACAAAGTCCTACGCAACAGAGAGAGTGCCCACTGAGGAAGTGGAAGAAGAAGAGTTTGCCATCGCGTGCAGCTCCATAAATAAGCAATATAAAAAAAAAAAAACTTCTCTCCATTTATATATCTTTTTTGCAAACCAGTTGAGGAAAACTGGTCAACTAGTTTATTACTCCCAAGTTTTTGCGTCTCCATTTTCTTTTTTTTTTTTCACCTCCCACCCCTCTCCCGTTGTTTCGCATAATGTGAATTGTAGCCGCAGTATGAAATGCGTACTGCCGGTTTTATTTTATTTTTTTGAAAAAGCCAATATAGAGAGGGGGGCAGGGGAGCATCCGCACGTGCAGACGAAGTGCGCATAAAAAGTAGTGTATCGTCCTGAGAGAACGCTTTCTTGGTGTACCCTCCCCTTACCCCTTTTTCCCCCCTCCCTTCCTGGCAAGATGAAGCGAAGCCAAATGCTCAAAGACACTCTGAAAAAAAGCAAAATTCCAACGGATGTCTACAGAAAGCAACAGAAGAAAAAAGAGAGAAAAAAAAAAAAACAGGAATGGTCCGAACAGCTAGAAAAACTTGTGAGCACAAAGAACCCACATGACGTCAAGGAAAAGTTAGATTCACTAAGGATAAGGGAGCAGCAAGGGAAGCTCCTTCATGTGGAAAAAAAAAAATTGAAGCAGTATGAAACTCTGTGGAATTTGATAAAGGAAAAGGTCAAGGATGGGACCTACTTCTACAATAACAATGGGGTGGTGTTCAGCATGAGTGGACAGCACGGGGAGGACGCTGCAGGTGGCGGTGATGGTGGAGGAAACGTTGTTGGTGAACAGCGCCAGGATGGTGCACCTGGCGGCGAAAGCGACTACGCCAGCTCAGATATCCAAGTGAGTTCGGAGTCATCCGATGAGAATGATGACTCAAACAGCGTGCAAAGTGATGACTCAAACAGCATGCAAAGTGATGATTCAAACAACGTGCAACGTGATGATTTAAGAAAAGCTCCAGGGGAGGACGACCAGGAGGAAGACTTCTTCCTGGAGTCTCTACCCTCCCTGCCAAAAGGACTGCCTGATGATTTTTTCACACCGAACATGAATGCACACCCCAATGGGGGTTATTATCCCAATGCGAATGTAAATAGCTACCCCGGTGCACACTCCTATAGAAGTTACCAACCACCCGTCCCTTTTAATGCCACAGGCCAGAGCAGTGGGTTCTATGGGTACAGCAATAATGGGTATTATGGTGGGTATACAAATGGCGTGAATTTTTATTTCGGCCCTGGGTACCCTGCCCAGTATGTACATGGGGTCGGCAGCAAAAGTTGCATGAATAGGCAAGGTAAGAAAGAAGAAGCCATTCCAACAGATGATGGGCAGCAACACGGAAAGAGCGAAAGTTCCAGCAAGGACAACCTTCCCCCAAATGATGAAGACAAAACGGATCCGACTTCTTCCAAAGTGAGTAGTGATGTACCTAACGCTTCGAGCAATGAAAGGGAGTTTTCCCCTGAGGGAGATCCTACTTTATTAACCATTAATGGAACGAAGAAGGGTGTGAACGCTTCCAGGAACACCCATGGGGATTTCCCTGCGGTTTGTCCTAACCCTAACCAGGATGAAGGAGAGAAAAATTCCACCCATGATGGTGCGGGAAGCCATCTCAAAGGTGCAGAGATTGATTGCAAAGCGGCGAACGAAAAAGGTGTCACGTCACCACCCCCTCCACCGAGTGTTCCACCCATTTATGGTAACAACTACTACTACTACAATTACGCACACATGTACGGTAATTTTAATACGGGCCAAATGAATGGAAGCAATTGTTTCATCCCCACGAATAACAACATGGAGATGTGGGGCGCTCCTAATTTAAGGGGGGGCCACGGGTATGTTCCCCCTTCAAGGAACTACGGAGATAGGGGAAAGAGACATGGCAACTTTAATAGGGCTAGAGGGGGGAATCCCGTATCAAAGAAGGCTCGAATGGGACCAAGCGGGGCAAACTATGGTTTCCCAATCAGTCAGCCAGATGAGTATGATCAGAGTGGACATGGGGACAATGCCCACGTAAGTGGTTATGGTGAACGTGGCCAGGGGGCAAGGCGACCTCGGCCTCATCCGCGGCAGCGACATAAAGAAGACCGGACAACGGAATCGCGACATGGACAGGAAGAGGAGGAGTCCAAGCCAAGCGCGCAGTATTTTGTGCCCATCAATTTAAGACTAAAGAATAAACTAAACGATCAGTGTGAAACAAAAATTAACGCAGTCCAGAAGGACAGAAATGTCAACGACAACAATGTTAACCTAGACGTAGAATACAGTAAATTCATGAAAGAGGTAGATTTGGGATAGAGGGGGAAGACATTCACCCCGCCCATTTTCTTTTTTCGTTTTTTTTGTGTAATTTTTTTTTTTTTTGTTAAGATACAAATGAATTGCAGCTTACGTGAGGCATTCATTTTGGGCATACTGTATAGCAGTCGTACACGTAGGTGTGTTTGTGTACCTCCACAGTTATGCACAACGCGTTTGTCTCCATCTGCACATACACATGTGCGTTCTTGTTTTTGTTTTTAAGCTAAATCGTGCGCTGAAATATCGCGCATACGTTTTCAGCACAAAATTTACGTTTAGTTTTTGCGTTATCAAGTGCATTTTTTTTTTTTTTGTGGACGTAACCCAGCGTGGTGGGAAAAAAAAGGAGGGCCAAAAAGGCTGACGCAAAAAAAAAAAAAATGAACAAAAAATAGGCGAGGGGAAAAACACCCCGCCGTGGCAAATTTAAATCCCAATTTTGTTTAAGCAGAATAGGAGGAGTAGGTTGAGTGGGATTCCGGGGACGACGTTCTTCGCCTGCGAGTGGGGGAGGGAAAAACCGTTGCTCCAAAAGGGGTATAAAAGGTAGCATGACATAGCAAAGCGTAGCGTGTCGCCACAAATGGCAGCACGACGCAGCAAAATGAGCGCTGCCAGGGGCCCTAGACACAACAACCCTCCTCCGGAATTACCAAGTAGGTACTGGTCGCTATCAAATTGATCGACATCAGAAGCATTATCAGGTACTTGAGGTTTTCTAAAATGAAAATAAATTACATCACACAGATGGGATGGGAAGGGAAACACAAGGACAGCATTGTTGTGCATATACGCAAAAGTGTGCAAATGGTGTGTCCCTGCTCCGCATCTCCTTTTTTTTAAATGCACCCAAAAAAGGAACTCCATCTTCCTTTGACGCCCTTACTGTGGGTCCTGTTTAGCAGCATGTAGGGAATCCAGAAGAAAGAAATTTTGCTCACCAAATAGTTGAATGGTATTCCTGCAAAAAAAGAAAGACAAAGATAATGACATGCATGAAATGCGCCTCCCCGATGAGCTTCTTTTTTTTTTTTGTTGTTGAGATGGTGTTAATCTCCGTTGCGAAGTTTTACTTGAACGGACGTTGAAGTGGTGAAGCGAAATGTTGCTTGCAAACTCGTTGCTGCGTGGGGAAGGGGGGAAATGGGTCTTCATCAGTTGCGCTCAAGTGGGGCTTCGTCAGGGGGGGAGACGAGCATTTTGTACACATAGGGACATATGTGCTTCCTCCGCTGACCCCATGCTTCTAACCGTAACAGCTGCATAACGTCATAATGGAACAGCTTGGAGAGGGTGAAATTTCCGGAGAACGCGAAGGGCACGTAGTTGTTAACGAAGTAGTATGCTGCCAGCCAAATGAGCTTCGTGAATGTGTGCATCTGGGGGGGGAATGGATGTAGACATGGGCGCAAAAATGGGCATAGAAACGGGCGCACAAATGGGCGTAGAGACATGGTGACGGAGCGAGGGGGGCTCCTGTCTTAACCCCGTTATTGCTCCTTCCCCGCGTGAACATACCTCGAAGCTCTCTATGGCCTGCCGAGAAAACACAATGGCACATATGATCACCGCCACGAGTGCCTTGACTTCGTACAACGTCCCTCCATATGCCACATATTTTACAAAGAAGAGCAGATGGATGTACAGCCGCAGTTCCGTGCCGTGGTAAGGATGCAAACTTTTGTCTTTGTATTGAAACACACTCAAGTATGGATTGGTTATGTAGAAAAAGATTAAAAATAGGAGAGAAGAAGTTTCTTCGCCGCAATGGTTATACTCAATATTTACAATTTTTTTTAAAAAAAACACTACCATAAAGCCTGAAACAACTGCGCCTGTTAGAGTGCTGCTTATGAAGACGACCTGCGGTAGACGGGGGGGGAGTAGCAAGAGCATTTGTGTAAATATTCGCGTGATCATCATCAATGGTGTAACCACTTGGGGCGCTCAAAGATGATTTAAGGGGAAAGACAACAATGTCGGCGCTAGCTAAAATAGCGGAGATAGAGGGAAACAAACTCGAATCCTCCTCTTCCCCCCACCCCAACCCCTTACACACATATCCCTGACCGTGCGAGCCTTACCCGAGTGACTTGCTTCGCGTATAATGACAAAAGCACAAATACGAGGAAGAAGGTAAATACAGTTTGGATCAAACCAGCATCATTTAAAAAAAATATATTAAAAAAAAACTTAAATGAATATAAAAGATTAACCAAGTAATTTTGTTCGCTAATGCCATTCTGAAACAAAGACTTGACGCTTATGTCCTTCAACTTGTAATTAAGAATCTTGTCGTAGTAGTTGTAGTTGACACAGAAAAGAGGCCTCACGTTTTCATACTTTAACAAATGCAAAATGTAATATGATACAAAAAAAAAGGAAGAAAATATAAGAGCAAAAAAGTTAATGTTGGTAAAAATATCTTTTAATTCCCACAAGAATATTTTACTTTTAAAAAAAAAACTCCTAATAAGAAAGTGTGCAGGATTGTCCGTACTTATAATCATATACAAACATATAAATATCACACTGATTGTTATTGCCGGCTCCAGGAAATTTATATGAACATCCTTCCCGTTGAAGCTTTCCATTTTTTTTTTTTTTTTTTTTTTTTCTCAATTTATACTCAGTTATGTCCTCATAAGTGAAAAACTACTGTCATAAATATAGCAGGGAAATTCTCCACACAATTTTCGTCCAGTTTATTTTTTTACATGTAGTTGTGAAATGTTTTTTTTTTGTTTAACTATGTATAAAAAAAAAAGAGGGAAAAACTATTTCGCCAAAAATGAGAAAAGGAAACCTTCGGGTCGATTTGTTCCCACGTGTAATTGTACTCAACAAGGGAGGGGCGCGACAGAGGTTAACTTGTTGATAGAGTTTTTGTTTCCTTTCGCGGGTTTACATCCCCCCTACACGCCCCTGCTCTGGGGGAGGTGCACAAATGGGGTGCATTTGGCCCCCGCCCACAGGCAAACTCAGAAATAAAAGTGAGTCATTTTTTACTCGGTGAAGTTTTTAAGGGGTGTGGAGCACAAATGAACTTGCGTGTACACATTTGTTCATTTCGCTACAGCTACCAAATGGTGGGCTTATTCAGTTATTTCTCATTTCATTTACGATAAGGCAATAATTACCCTTTCCCTTTCTGCTTCACTGCAACACTTCCAACGCGCCATGGGGCTCCTCTCTTCCCCTAGCACTTTTTAAAAAAAAAAAAAAAAAAGGCACTAATTTAATGCCGTTGTTATAATTTAAATGGGCGTACAGGGAAAGGGTGCGCAGTTATAATATCCGTTGTGTGGAACTTTAAAATAAAAAGCGCCGTACGGTTGAGCGGGTCCGCACGCGCATATGGACACTCTCGGATGCCCCCACGACACGTGTGTGCTCGCACGGTTCGCCATTCCTTCAGAACGTGTTATAGCCCTCGATTTTTCGCAGCCATGTGTATGCGCTCACACGTACGTGGAAATGCGATGATACACAGGTGGATACATTAATGCGTGGTTTTATATAAGTGAGTGTCTACATAAATGCGTGGTTTTGCAAAATGTATGGATAAAAGGACGATACGTGTGTGCATGCCCAAGTGAAAAACACCGTGTAAAAACACGAGTGCCTTTTTTCACTTGGCGACACTTTTAAAAGCTTATTAAATGGTGAGAAAAAAAAAAAAAAAAAAGAAAAAAAGAAAAAAGAAAAAAGAAAAAAGAAAAAAGAAAAAACACGTACGGGTGAGCTCACGTGGTAAAAGCATGTGTATATATATGCATATATACGTGTGTGCGCGGGCGAGACCGTGCGATCAGATCAGCTGTACCCCGGATGAAGTGCACACATTTTGCCATTGTTCATAAAAGGAGTGGTCGAACAAATTTATAGCCATTTCGTCAGGGGGTAAAGGATTAATTTTTCTTCCGTTCCCTTCCCCCCCCCTTCTCCCTTTTTCCACGGAGCACACCTGCTATCTATATAGTGTGTAAACCACCATGGACACACACACATATACACCTTTTTCATGGGTGTGAGGACCCTAACAGATCACAGCATAACGTCTATTCAATTTTTGTCTTCTTGACATCCGTTTCATTGGTAGAGTCCAGGGCACTCTGTTTTCTCTTATTCGTTTTTTCATCATTGTGAGGATTTTCAGTATCCTTAGTCTCCACATCTAAATCCTCTTTATCCAAATCTTCCTTTCCTAAATCATCGAGCTCTTCCTCTTCCAAATCATCATCCAGGTCATCATCATCCTCTTCATCTTCATTGTCATTAGGAACAAATTCCTCATCCTCTTCTTCATCTTCTTCTTTAAAATCAGCTTCATAAAAATTCTTCAGTGTATTGTCTTCTTCATATTCTTCATCTTCTTCTTCACCAGAGCTTAACACTTCTACTCCTTCCTTATTGTAGCAGTCTATTATTTTTATGTTCGGGAGGAAGGTAAATAATTCTTTACGATAATTGGGGTCATCTGCAAAAGGGTTAAACTGCACACCTAAACGACTTAAGTTTTTTAAATCCTTCAAGACTTCAAAGTCTTTAATATTTTTAAAGTGGTTTCCTCCAATCTCTAGTGTTTTTATATTTGGAAATGTCTCAACAATGTACTTCAACACTTCTACTGTGCTCAGGTGGTTGTCTGTTAACTCCAGCACATTCAGGGTGTCCATTTTGGGTAGGCTCTCCAAGGTCTGTATTCCTGTTTGGTTCAGACTTAGTTTTTCCAGATGAGTAAATTTATTTAGCAATTCTACATCTTCACTTTTTATTGCACTAAATTTTTTTCCGTCTAGGATTAGCTCCGTCAAATTCTCATATGCATTTTCGTTCGTCGCTTCCTTTCCATCAGCAGAGTTTTCCTTTTTCCATTTCTCAATGCGTTCTTTAATGGCCTTTTCCATGGTTCAAAAAAAAGGGGTGAGAGAAGATATAAGCACTTGGGGAGGAAGGCACGGACAGGGGGAGGGGGATCGTAAATCCTGGATAGCGGAGGTCTGGGTCAGGAAAAACCAGTGCTGCATAAAAAGGGAAAGGAGGGCTAGAAGCGCATAAATGAGTGGATCTCTCTTCGGGGTGGACGAGAAAAAAAAACACACACACATACACAAGTGGTACGACGCGTATGAATTTCGTACACATGCGCGTATAAGCACGCATATGTATGCATATGTAAGCATATGTACGCATGCACCCATCTGGGCACTTGAACAGTCCGAAGAACTCGCTCAAAAAAAAACGGTCAATCGGAGGGCGCAGTTTGGGGAACTTAACATGGGTATTGGAGCGATGTTTGCACATTCGCATTTTCGTCACGCACACATTCTCGTTTGGGATTCTACTTTCCCCCACAATCGTTTTAATGCTCTCTCGGAAGTGCACAGAAACAGGTACATCCTAACATTATGAACAATGTGCTCCAAGCGGAGAGCACTTGTCCTATGCCAAGTCCAGCATGGAAATTTCACCAAACGGAACGAAATGCAAGCACATGGACACACGAAAGCAGCACATCTTCGCAAGACGATTAGTATATACACGAATCACATCTGTGCGCCATGCAGTCAAACAAAACGGAGCCCCTTTAAAATTACACACTACTTAAAACATGTGAAACGACATGACCTCCTAATGACACAAACGATTCATCACGCGCGACCACGCTATGAGATACAAAACGCGGGTACAAACACACGTCACTCTTTTTTGTACTTTCCCTGTGCCTATTCAGGCCACTTGGGTGAAGAATACCAATGGTGTTTTTTTTTTACCCAGCCATTCCTCTTTAAGCGAGAAAACAATACGCTCATACGCACATGGGGGAATGTACTGTGCTGCTAATGTGTGTACGTGCGTCAGTGAGCAGCGAGCAGCAGGCATAGAAGTATTTGCCACAAGTAGAAGCGTACACAATCCATGCAGAGGAGAAGTTCGTTTGCGCAGGGATGCGTGGGCGGCGTAGAAAACACGTCACACGCAAAGGTATTTGAAGGCATATAATATGTACACAAAGGAATACAAATGAACATATATATGTTCATACACATACATACTTATATGTGCGCATCTGCGCTGCTTACGTGTTATTGCTGTATCCCTGGCGAGATGTAAAGTGAGACTGGCGAGCTCCTTGGTAGGGGATTCTCTCCTTTATGTAATGACTGTACTTTGTGTTTTATTAAGCTTTAAACTTAGCAAGCAATCACTTATTCAGTTGTGTGAAAATAAAATGTCATGTATGTAGGTATATCATTCAATAAAGCCGAATGAAGAAGGGAAAAAAAAAAGTCAGAAAAAAAAAAAAAATGAACTTGTAGATATAAATTTAAAGGCGAAGTTATTGCATACGGGCATTATGTGCTATTTTTTTTTTTTTTTCTCTCTCTCCAAAAAAGGGTTTTTCATTTTAGGTACGCAGGCACGCACATACGAGGGGGTATGCACATTCGCGGGTACGCAGATACACAGATACGCACATATGCACATATGCACATACGCGAATGCACGCATGCAAGCAGGTAGTACCATGCACATGTACACAAAAGTACGGTTTGTTATTTTTCTTTTTTTTTTTTTTTTTTCGGCCCAGGGACTATTTCTTAGCTTTGCAGTTTTTCTTATAATGTTTCCGCCTTATATAAACGGCGTGCGTATTAATGTGTATCAATTTATTCACTTAGAGACGTTTGCTTTTATGTGTTCGCACTGTTAAACGCAATTTCTAATGAAAGCAAATGTGCCTTTTTTTTTTTTTTTTGCATTCCCTGTGTTTTATACCGTGCCAGCCTCTCCTGCCTTACCTTGGTGCAAATTTGCGTGTACCGCGAGGGGCACAACACGAAAGAGAAAAGAAGTCGTAAAATCACGCACGTTGAAATTTAACTTGGACTAGGGATGAAAAATGGATGGTACTTCTTTTCAGGCATATGTGTGGAGGAGAAGTAGGAGGAGCTTTAGTGATTCTTAATCTTTCTCCGTTTTAAAGTCGAAATGAAATTTCGCTTCTCACACTTTTAAGGAGCGTTATATGGATAAAGGGATTTCCATTTTTTTTTTTTTTTTTTTTTTTTAACGTAAAAGTTTGACTGTATGTATAAAAAAAAAAAAAAAAACACACACTACGGGGTATTGCGTAATTTTCTATGGACTTAAAAATATAATTTCCCCTTTTTTCCCCCATTTTGAGGTTTCTCATTTTAGCTGACTGACATAGTACAGTTTGTCTCCTCATGTAAAGTATTCCAATGGCTAAGAAAATTGCACACAAATGTGCCCAATAGATGTGACGCGTGGTGTGTTACACCTCCCTCTCTCCATATAACTTGAATTTGTTTCACATCCAATGGCTCTTACAATTTTATCCGTTAAACGTTCCACACGTGTCTACCATTTTTATGTTGACGTGCATGCATGTCCTGTTGGAGTAGATACCCGCATTTATTCACCAATTAATGCGCCAATGTGTGTACAGAAAAAAAAAGGCGTTTTTTTTTCCCCCTACCCCACCCCCCATCGGTGACGTGAAAAGGTATAAAAACAGGACGAACAAAGATGAGTAGGATATACTTTTATATTCAACTTCTCGAACAATCTCGTTGGAGAGACACTGCACAAAAAGGATCGGGTCACCCCCAACTTGTTTGTTTCGCTCCAGTTTTAGCCATCCATCCTGTCGTCGTTCAACTTATAACTTAGGGGGTGGCCCCATCCTTTTTGTGCGTTGCGTGGAATGACGTAATTAAGGCCACTGCTCTTGTTTCCTTACGGGTAAAAACACATCCCTATGTTCTCCAACGTACACACAGGTTGGATGTTCTCCTGTGTAGTGTTAATCCATCGACTCAAGAATAGGTGCATAATGAAATTCGCTACGTGCGTCCTCCCACTTTAAGGTTATAACAAAAATTTTCCACCCGTTTAAAATTAGGGGTTCATGAATATTCACCATTTTGGAACAATCGCCTACCAATTTTGACCTTCCCCACTTGAGTTCTTCCCGCTGGTGCACAGAACCAAATGCGACGGGTTTGTTCCACACCTCTTTCCGCTAACACGTAATATGCGCTCTGCGTAAATTGGCCAAGCGGAGGAAGGGGCTCAGTGGAGGGTCGCTACAACTCGGCGCATATCCTCCCCACGCACGGTGTTCTTTTTTCGAATGCGAAATGGTGCCCTTTAGTTGTAACAAAAAAAAATATATATATATAATATAAATATTCCTTCTTGTTTTCTTTCCCTTTTTTTTTTTTTCGTCTCCTTCTTTTCCCCGTCGCAAAGGAATCCAAGAAGGTCATCATCATCCACAATACGCTGCATTTGCGGACCCCATTTTAAGTGAGCAAAAAAGGGTCCTCCATAAAAAGCGGCGGTTCATAATATATAATACACCATATTGTGCACAAAAGGGAAAAAGGCCATTTTTCTTCGCCCATTATTATTGACCCATTATTCCTGACCCATTTGTGACTCCATAATAAACACGTACATGTCGGTATGCCGCTTGTGGAGTACATCAATGAGGAGGGGTACAGAATTGACGGCAGAAAGGAAGACGAATGCAGGTTGATAAAAATCAGCGTGGGAAACGAAAATATATTTACGGATGCAGACGGATTTGCATTTTACGAAATAGGGAACACAAAACTCTTGTCTTACGTACAAGGACCAACTGAATTAAAGAAGTCAGAAGAAAGGTGCTCCATAAAATGTGAAGTATTCCTCTCTCCATTTAATGTGTATGAAAAAAAAAAAAAAAAAACCAAAGATAGCGTTACAAATGAAATAAGTGCGTACATAAGAAATATCTGTGAAAATATTATCCTCCTGGATTTATATAAAAATTCAGAAATAAATATTTTCCTTTACATAATAGAGCGTGATGGAGGGGTGAAACATGCTGCCATAAACACCTGCATCCTGGCATTAATTGACGCAGGCATAGCGATTAAGTACTTTATATCTGCCTGCTCAGTTTTGTACTTACAAAATCGTATCCTTGTGGATGGAAACCAGTTAGAAATTAACTCGGGTGCCCCCGAACTCACTATGGTTATTGAACTCAACACTCATAAAATTGTTCTGCTAGAATTTGATGCGGAGGTCCCTATTGACGTTTTCGAAGCCATGGTTCGCACCTGCATGGACTGCTGTGTCAATTTGGGCAACGTTATGAAATTAACTGTAAAGGAAAACGCCATCAAGCTCTTGTGTTTAAATAATATGTTAAAGGCCTGACCGGGGAGGACAAGAGAAATAGCATTCGTTGCACTCTCTGTACCAACATCCAGCACCTGCGGGATAGGACGCATCACCACGCATGATGGATCTATAGCCAACCGGCGGAAATTAATTCTCACCCTTCTTTTTTTTTTTTTTTTTCTGGCGCCGATGTTTCCATCTCATTAGCTCGTATGTGTGTGTACAATTTTTGTTTTTAATTTTTTTTTTTTTTTTTTTTTCTTGTAATTGCATGGCTAAAACTGCCGTAAATCTACCCCCAAAAAGAAGCGGCCCTTCGCCGATCCATTTGAACCAATAAATAAAACAAATAAAATAAAACATAATGCAACATTACATGCAGAGCGCCGCCTCCTTCGGAGGATACTCCCCTGCGCGAAATGCAAAATTTTCAGCATTCCACAGCAATAGGCGGACACACCGTTTTATTTCACCTGCAAGGGCAACTGCACCCCCAAAAAAATAACCCCTCTCGTGGATTATTTTAAAGCACATATAAAGGAGCTCACACTTGTTGCACTTGGTCTTTATTCCAGTGGAAAAAAATGCCATTTTAATAATTTCCTCTGCGTTGCCTACCAAACGAACCGAGCATCACCATTGCCCTGCTGTTTAACCGTTGGGGAAAACAAAGCGAAGAAGTTACACCGCATTTCACCTGCACACT